GGGGCGGGGCGGGGGCGGGGCCGGGGGCGGGGCCGGGGGCAACAGGCGGGCTGCGCGCGAGCTCCCGCCCCTGGCCGGCTGTAAATCACGCTTCCCCCCAGCTCACTGGGCGCCGGCGGGAGGGCGGGTGTGGCCAAAGGGCAGGCCGGCAGCCAGTGGCCAATGAAAACGAGGCAAGGGCTCGACTCCGGGAGGGTCAGCCAATGAAAAGTGAGAGCCATTTCCTTAGCGGCGTCAGGGCGGGCTTGTCGGAAGAGGGCTCGGATTTTGGAAGTCGCCGAGGCCTGGACTCGGGTTACTCTTGTTGCTTCCTCTTTGATCGGTTTTTGCTTTTACTTCCCAGTTTTCTGAAGATTCCTTCTGGCAGCCTCTTGCTTTTGGTCTTGCTGAGCGCCACCTCCTAGGCGTTCTAGGGTGAAGGGGTTGAGAGCAGGATCCAAATACATGTGCACGACTTGTTCTGGGTTCTAGCAAGGGCAGAACCAAGGGGCACCCCTGCTGGGTGACCCGGGAGAATTGCAAAGTGGGCTTCCCAGATCCGCGAGTGAGCCCGGAGCTTCCCAGCAAGGTGGGCTCCAGCTCTGGGTTCTAGCAAGGGCTGTGGGCCACCACTGTCTCTCTTTCTGTGCTCTGAGTGCCACGCAGAAGAGAGCAAGGGCAAGAATCAACCCCACAGTCTCTGGGGCCCTCTAGCCCCGGGAAAGAGGGGAAGGGGGAAAACGTGAAATGCTGAAATGGTCATGAAAGCCTCCACTCTTCTAGGTCTTCCTTCTATGAATCGGGAAAAGCGAGCATGTGGGCTCTGGTTAGCTTATGTGTGGCCAGTAGTCTAAATAAGCAAAACGGGGTTTAGATTTGGGTGAGATCTTACTACTTTCTCATGCCTTTCCTCAAATTGAGTAATAGTGAATTTAGGATTTATCTTTAAAAAGTTAAATCAGGGTGGGGTGAGGTGGCTCAAACCTGTAATCCCAGCACTTTGAGAGGCTGAGGCAAGAGGATTGCCTGAGGCTGGATGCGGTGGCTCATGTCTGTAATCTCAGCACTATGGGAGACCGAGTTGAGAGGATTGCCTGATCTCACGGGTTTGAAACCAGCCTGGACAACTTAGTGAGACTTCGCCTCTACCATAAATCAAAAAATTAGCCGGGTGTGGTGGCGCATGCCTGTGGTTCCAGCTACTTGGAAGGCTGAGGTGGAAGGATCGCCTGAGCCCAG